TATTCTTATTTGGGTCTCTTTATAAGTGAATATTTGTTTTTTCTCTAGCTGCTTTTATGATTTTCTCCATTTCCTCATAGTTGGATAATTTGTTATGTGTCTTGTTGAATTCTTGGGATTCAGTCTGGCTGGGGTTCTTTGGTACTCCTGAATGGTTGCCTGACTTTCATTTATTAAGCTGGGGATTCTCTAAGAACCCCCTCGCTATTTTTGCTGTTGCCTTCTTTGTTGTGTCTTGTTGCTGTAGTCCAGTTATTTGAATATTATTCCTCTTCATAGCATCAGACATGGCTCTCAGGTTTTCTTCAGTTTCTCTGATTGTCCTATTTGACTGCCTTTCCCATTTGTTGAAGTCTGCCTGGTTATCCTCTAGGTCACTGGTGTGATTCTCTGCCTCCTCAAGACTTTTGGCAAAGCCTGTTAATTTGTTACTGGATTTTGTTATTTCATCCCTTAGATCTTATATTTCCCTGTGGTGCGTTGCCTTTATCTCCTCTATCATTTCATCCGTTTTATGTATTGCTTCCCTCATATCCTGTATGACTCCAATCAGCATTCTGAAGATTTCGGTGGCCGATTAATGTCTGCTTCTTCTATGCACGTTGTTAGGCTTATGACTTCTTCCAGCATTTTCTTCTGTTTCTCCTGCTTTTTCATTGAGGCTGTTGGGGCTGGTTGCTGTTTACATGTTGTTTTAGAGGAGCCTGGCACCATCTTCCAGAGTCAAAGAGCACTGTATGACTGCTTCTTTGAACTACCTGTAAGTGCACTAGAGGGTCAGGCTATCACTGTATCTTCCTGTGATGTCACTCTTACCCTTGCCAACAAATATTCCATTATTTGGAATGTGAGTTGGATAGTCCTCTCACAGGACACTGGTCGGGTGATCTTGGGCCTACAAGGATGGTGCTTCACTGGCTGATCTCCCAGGAAGCCGCAGTGGGGTGTCCCACGGGGCTTGGAGCACCTCAGGTTGTGTGTCGTGTTTCCCTCTGCAACTACAGTCCCATGGAGGGTGGGTGAGTGTGTCCTCCTTGGTGTAGAACACCATGGAAGGCAGGTGGAATTACCCTAGGCAGAAAGATTGCCATGGAGGTTGGGCAGATGTTCCCGCAGAAGCATGGAGCACCACAAATGGCAGGTAGAAGTTTCCCCAGTCACTTGTAGGGCCATGGGTGTAGCCGAGAGATTCCCAGCCTTTCGGGGTGTAGCAGAGTGCGGTCGTGATTTCACCAGCTGCGTGTAAAGCCAATGTGTAGGCGGGAGCTCCCCCAACTGGGCCGCCAGAGTTTCCCTAGGCAGAGAGGAATGGCCTGGAGGCAAATAGTGGCTTGTAAAAGGAAAGAAGGGAGGAGAGAAGAAAGAGAGAAAGGATAAAACAAAGGCAAGTGCAAACACACAAACACACACACACACACAAAGCAAAGACAAAACAAAAAGACAAAAAAGAAAAACAAAATCTGCTGAGACTGTGGCAGGAAAGAGAGAAGGGATAGAAGAGGAAAAAGGAAAAAGCAAAAAAGGTAGAAACTAAATAAATAGATAGGATAAAGAGATAGCGGAGCCCTGTGACGTGCCATGTATAGCACTGCTTCGTGTCATGTGCAGCACTGTCACAGGGGGCATACTGGCTGGAGCTCTCCCCACTGGGTGAGCGGAGTTGCCTTCGGCAGATGGTAGGGGACTGGAAGCCAGCAGTGTCATGTGGACGGAAAGAGAGGGAGAGGCGAGAAACAGAAAAGAGGGGGGGAAAGAGAGAAGAGAGAGAAGCAGAAAAAACACACAATTGTGCTCACTGAGACTGACTGTAGTGGGAAAGAGAAGAAAAAAACAAAGAGTAAAGAGATAGCAGATCCCTGATCACCTGAACATGGGGCTGGAGGTGTTTAAACCCTGCCCCAAGGTGGCAGGTTGGTGTGCCCTTTTGGTGCAAGGTATTAGGCGGAATTGCCCTAGTTGGCAAGATCACCATAGAGGCCAGATGGAGGTTTCCTCAACAGCGTGGAACGCTGTAGTGGGCTGTCACACCTGCCTCATGTAGTGTGCAATGCTCCCACAGGTGATGGGAAGAATTACCCTTGTAAGCAAGATCACAGCAGAGGCCAGGCAGCGGTTCCCACAGTGGTGTATAGCACTGGAGATCGCTGGTATAGCTGCCTTGTGCTGTGTGCAGCACTTCAGCAGGTGGTTGGAAGCTCCCTCAGCCCCATATAGGCCCCCAGGACAGGCAGGGGATCCCCCAGTCACAGGCATTCTTATGCTATTCATTAATTTGATCTTCCTAGAAATACCCAAAAAAGGTATTCAAACAACTAGAAAAGGTCTTCTTCCATTGGGCTGACAGAAATTTGGGAGGATATCACTTTAAACGAGAAAGGAAAATACAAAAGTAATGTATATCTTAGAATTGATGAAAGTATTATACTAACTTACTTGGTAAACCAGAAAACCTATTATTAATAGCCCAAATAATCTATTTAAACCTTAAGTTAAAGCATCAAATTAACAAGGAACTAAAGAGTCTCAATTGATCACTAAGTGTTATAGCTATTTTTGTACAGAATCGCTAGATAAGCATGTGACAGTAACATTAAAGAGACGTTCTCCTGATCAGATCTAATCTGAGTTCAGACATTGCCCCCTTGGACAGCCTATTAATTAGCAAAAACCTGGTTCTGCCACACTCTTATATTGACAAGCTATTACTATGCTATAATATAAAAGAAGCAACTAATATACTTAAAGTATACGAATTTTAAAATATTGTTCAATGAAAACACACACAAAGAATCCTACTATGTTTCCATTTATAGCATTAAAAAAAAAACCCTACTGAAACCTTAACAGTGGCAGCTTTTTGTAAGAGATGGTATTGCCTAGAAATACACACCGGGAAAACTGTTGGAGTGATTAGTATGCTCTCTACCTTGATTTCAGTATGGGTTATACAGTTAATTTAAACTAATGGGAAAACTCTACATGTCTACTAAGAACTATGCATGTTATCTAACCTTGAAAATAGGTAGGATATCCTTAATGCCTTAAAGTTGAAATTAAGAGTAGTTTGGTGAATGTTTGCAAATTGAAAAGATAGCTGATCAGAATCATAAATACATTATTTAGCATGATAAGGAGTTTGAAATTTGAGGGAGTGGCAATAAAGAATAAAAAAGGTAAAATTACATAAATTAGAATTAATACTACTACTCAATCACTTATTCAAATTTCACTACTGCTCAAGCACTATTATTAAATAATATGTAGGGCAGAAGAGTAGTTAGTTATTCAAAAGTTAACTATAAGAAGAGCATCAATTTATTTCTCAGTAGTAGGATCTGATACATTAATCCTGAAAATTTAGTATTAATAGATTGCAGTCCTACTATCCTTATTCTTGCTAGTTTCAGCAAGATATTAATGGACTGCAATTTACAAGATGAAATCTTAAGTGGAAAGCAAGAAAATTAAGGACTTATACAGCAAAGATTCTAAGACTTAATCATCATTTAATATTGTATCTGGGTAAACAGAAAGAAATGCTGATCAAATTATGTACAGTACCTATGAGAAATACTATACGTAAAAGCAATCAAATTTGTTGGCATATTTATAAAGTAAACTTGTAGGCTCCTCTGAAAATAAAATTACTTTGTTCAAAATATTATGAAATTTAGGAGAAAGGGGTATACCATTGTTATTTGCTGTCAGTTTCTAATTCTAAAACTTTTTAAAAAATGTGCTATGAATTAGATTGTTTGCTGAGTAACCTAAATCTTATAGCTCTGTTGAGAATGGGTTGTTTGTGTTGCATTTAAGAGACAGGATTAGTACAGGGTGTGTTTTGAGTTGATTTCTTAAAAAACACAGAAGCAGCACATTAAGCAGGCGAAGACTGGGGAAAGCTGGAGGCGAGCTCCGAGGAATCAAGGCACAGAAGAGGAAGAGACAAGGGCCTATGTCCAAAGCTGGACCGATAACCACAGTTGACAGAATGAGAAAGCCTCCCTGCCAGGTGCCCAATTCAATTCAGACTTTGGGTCTCTTCACCTGCGAGAAATGTGTTTGTTAAAGCTATCCACTTGTAGTATCTCTCTCAAAGGAGCACTAAGTAACTATGATGCAATAACCAAGCCTTTTTTCTTAACCTAATCCCTGAATTTGCCCATTTTTTCCGCCTTCTAAAAACCGTAGAATGTTCTTTAGGAAACAAGGACGGTGAGACTTGGTCTCACATACTTTGGACATGCTATCAGGAAGAGACCAATCCCTAGAAAAGACATCACGATTGTTAAAGCAGATGGGCACTGAAAAGGTAAAACCTGGAAAGATGGGTCGAAATAGTGGCTACAGCAATGGGCTTAAACACAAGCATGACTGTGGTGAGGATGACACAGGATGGGGCAGCGTTTCATTCCGACGCACGGAAGGGGGCTGAATGAGAACAGACTCAACGGCACATAACAACGACAACCCTAAATTCACTTCATGAAATTACAGAACACTCCTGGGAAAGAAATCCATTCTAAAATGTTTTGGTTAAGTTAAGTTTATAGTAGCAGATTACTTAACTCACATAAGACCTCTGTAATTTTTATTCTTCTTAAAAGACTTAATTTCAACAGTAATATAGGACCCGTCTCTTACTTTAAAAATTAAAACCAATATACCTAGCATATTTCTCTAATGTTATTCGATGCTGCAAATGAATTAAAGAAAATATATTAGTAGGAGCATCACTACAAAAATTAAGAAAAAGATTGCCAAATACAAGAATTTTATGGAAAGGTCAAGAGACTAGATACATTGTACATACAGAACTAGAAATGAATAAGAAAGCATAAAGCTTCTAATTTGTAAAGTAAACTTTCAAACACAAATTAAGAAGAATTGTATGATTAAACTCTTAACAATGAAAAAATAGGCAATATCTCGAAAATGTCCCAAGGATCATTAAATATAAATAACTATGCATGTTGTTGATGGATTTAAAGAATACTTACGACTACTTCCAAGTTCTTCAAAGAGAAACTTCACTTTTTCCCACTCTGTAGAATTTTTATTATTAGGAACACTCAATGGAACAAAAGCACTAAAAAGAAGAAAATAATTCTGTTTAATGAATCTACAGATAAAAGGTTAAGTTAAAGAAACTGGTCTGAAACTCAATTTTTAAAAACAAAATTCAACTTTAATAGTTTTATTAATGCATTCAGGATAATTAGTTTTCTTTTCTTTTTTGATAATACATTTTAAAGCATTTTGGCTTTACAGAAAAGTTATACAGAAAGAACATATGTTACAACTAATAATGCAATAATATTGATATGTTATTAAATAAAATCTATAATTCATTTTAGGGTTCTTTTTTTGTGCTGTACAGTTTTATGGGTTTTCACAAATGCACAATGGAAATGGATCCACCATTACATTATCATGCAGAGTAGTTTTACTGCTGTTAAAAAATCCCACACTTTACCTAAATTCATTTCCTTTCTACCCCTGAATTACTGGCAACCAATGATCCTTTCACTTTTTCTAAACTTGGCCTTTTCTTGAATGTCATAGAGTTGGAATTATACAGAATGGTTTACTTATTCACATCGGTGTCTTTTACATACATATTTAGGGTTCCTGCACGTCTTCTCATAGTTTGATAGTGTGCTTTCATCCACGAACAGTACTCCAGTGCTTTCCTGCTTACCCGTTCTCACAGTGCAAAACATCTATCCACACATGCACGTTCAGGATCTGAAGGGTACCAATCATGTGAGTAAGTAAGCAGGAGCACATTTGCCAGGTTGTAAAGAAAGCCAACCTTCAGTTCTGGAAGACGGCCAGAGTGAGGTCCAAAACAGCTATACTATCTGTCATTAACATCTTCATAATAGTGAGTCTTCAAAGCTATGAACACAAAATAGCTATTTATTTAGATCATCTCTGACGTCTTTCATCCCAGTTTTGCATATATTTTGTTGTTTTATATATAGTATTTCAAATTGTGGGTACTAATGTAAATGGTATGGTGTTTTTAATTTAAATTCTAATGGTTCATTGTTGATATATAAAAACAGTAATTGAAATAAGGACATTGTATCCTGCAGCCTTGCTGTAATTGCTTTGTTTGTTCTACAGGGCTTTGTTTTGGGGGGTGCTTTTTGGTGTGTGTGTCTCACTTCGAGATTTCCTATATAGGTATTCAAGTCAGCTGCAAGCATAGATTCTCTCTCTTCAATCTGTATGCCCTTCCTCTTCTTTTCTGGTCTTATTGCATTAGCTAGAATGCAGTGATGTACGTATCGAATGATGTTAAACAGGAGTGAAGAAGGTATTTTTTAAGTCCCATTCTTAGGAGGAAAACATCTAGTTACTACCACTATGTATGATGTGAGCTGTGGTTTTTGAGTTTTCTTTGGTCAACATCCTTGATCAAATAGAGCAAGTTTGGTCTATCACAGTATGCTGAATTTATCATGTTGAGAGTTTACCATGATTGAGTGTTGGATTTGTCGAGCTTTTTCTGCACATATTGACATAATCAAGCATTTTTCTCATCCTCATACATTTTCTTCTTTTTATTGATTTTTGAATGTTAAGCAAGCCTTGTACATATAGTTTATGACCTTGGTCATGGTGCGTAATTTTTATACACTGTTATAATAAATATGTTGTTGCTTATTTTTACATCTATATTCATGAGCGATACTGGTTTGCAATTTCCTTTCCTAGTAGTATCTTTGTGTGGCTTTGATAATGGAGCAAAGAGCAAAGAGTACTTTTTTATTTCCTGAAGAAATAGAAAATGGGCAAAAATTTTCTTCCGTAAATGTTTCATAGAATTCAGCAATGAAACCCTCTGACCTTGGTGCTTTCTGTTTTCAAAGACTTTTAACTGTTGCTTGAACCTTTCTAATAAATAGGCTGTTCAGATTATTTCTAATAAGCAGTCTATTTAGATTTCCCCTTGTGAGTTTTGTCTATTGTCTTCAAGAAATTGTTTAATTTCATCTATGTTAACATATTTGGGAGCACAGAGTTGTTTAAAACTTCAGTTATATCCCTCTGATTTCCATGGGGGTGTAAGGGCACCTCTTTTGTTTCATATACTAGTAATTGTGTCTTTGCTCTTTTTCTCTTCATTGACCATGCTGTGATGAGGTGCCATCAACTCTGTTTCAAGACAGTGTCCCTATATCAAAACAGAACAAACCCTGCCTGGCCCTGCACCATCCTCACAGTTGTTATGCTTGAGACCATTGTTGCAAACATTGTATCATTCCATCTCACCAGAGTTGTCTTCTACTGACCCTCTCCATTTGAATGACGGTGCTGGCATAGAATATTCAAAGTAGAAGGGACTGCCAAAAGAACAAACAAGTCTGTCCTGGAAGAAGCACTGTCCGGACACTCCTTGCAAGGAAGGGCAGAGACTGCGTCTCAGGTACTTGGAACACATTATTAGGAGACACCAGTCCCTGGAGGAGGATATTATGCTTGGTAAAGTGGAGGGGCAGCAATAAAGAGGAAGACCCTGACAAGATGGATTGACACCGTGGCTGCAACAATGGGTTCAAGCACAGGAAACAATTGTGGGGACGGTGCAGGCCTGGGCAGTGTTTTGTTCTATTGTGCTCGGGGTCGCTGAATCGGAACTAACTGGAGGGCCTCTGATGACGACGACTGCTACTTTATCAAGTCCTTCTCCAGAGGCTGGTCTCTCCTCATAATACATTCAAAGTACATGAAATGAAGTCTCACTATCCTTGCTTCAGAGAATTATTGTCCTACTGGAAGAGTCTTCTTCCAAGACACTTATTTAATTCCTAACCAACACCGTGATTCAGATGCATCAATTCCTTTTCAGTCTGCTTTATTCATTACCCAGCTTTCACATGTATATGAGGTGACTGGAAAATAACATGGTTAGGATCATATGCACGTCAGTTGTTACGGTGCCATCTTGGTTTGATAACACTTTAAAGAGGTCTTTGGCAACGGATTTGCCTAATGCAATACGTCATTTGATTCCTGGTTGCTGATTCCAGCAGCAATGACTGTAGATCCAAATAAAATGAAAACTTTGTCAACTTTCAATTTTATTACAGAATGATACTTCCTTGTATTACGGGGTACCCCAAAAAACCCAATTCTTATATATAATAGTGCTTTTGGAGTTCTTCCCACCAGGTCAGATTTCATCAAGCTTTTTATTTAGAGGTTCTGAAAAGATTGTGTAACTGTGTGACAAAAAAAGCCTGGTTCGTGGCTGACCAGGGACTAGTTTTGCCACCACGACAATGCACCTGCTCATGCAACCATCTCATTGCAAAAAACAGCATGCCTCTCTTGTCCCATGCACCTAACTCACCTGGCCTCACTCCATGGGACTTCTTTTTTCCCCACGAATGAAGAGGGACATGAAAGGACAGTGATTTGATGACATAGAAGAGGTGAAGAAAAAAAAAAATGAGGGAGGTACTGTTGAAAAATGTTTTCCAGAATGGAATCGCAGATTCGACAATTTATTAAGTTTAATGGAGAGTACTTTGAAGGTGGTAGGTTGTTTTGTAAAAACATACTTAGCTTTGAAAAAATACATAGCTTTGAAAAAAATTCCGGTTTTTTGGGGGTACCTCCTCATATATGTACTTCACATTTTTATTCATTCATGTTTTGTTATTTAATTTTTTAAAATACACATATTTGCTATCCGTACTTCAGGGGTTTTCATTTTTACCTATTATGAGTAATGCTTCAATGAACAGTGAATTAAGAGGGCTCTTCAAAAAGATCATGGAAAAATGGTGTCGTAGTTACATAATCTGATGTCAATTTGGGACTTGACAGCAGTAAGAGCGACAGAGTGGAGTCTACTCAATCAGATCATAGCCAATGAGGCCTCTGTGTGGGCATGGTCTTTTCCTGAGAATTCTGGGAATCCTGGATTTTCCTCCTTGGAGGCGGGAGAGACTCTCTCTGCTCACTCCAAGACAATACACTACTGACAAGACACATGGCGCTACAACCTGGGAGCTGGAGAAGCCACGTGAACCTCCCCTGATGCAGCCAGACCTCTGGGAACTAGAGGAGCCACGTGGAGACCCCTGACAGTGCTAAGATGCTTTAGCTTACAATGCCACTGGATCCAAAGACTTTCTACCCACCGGCCTGTGATCATTCTGCATTCGGCGCCACTGCATATATTTCATGAGTCTGAAGAGGACTTTATAGATTGGTATCGGACATAAGGGTTAATATCAGACTTATGGGCTTGGACTGTACTGGGTTGGGATGCTTTCTTAATGTACAATTACCCTTTATATAAAACTCTCTCATATACACATATGCGTGTCCAAGAATTTGTTTCTCTAGTTTACCCAGACTAACACAAATGGATTAAAGGTTAGCCATATTTTTCCATTAACCTTTTGAAGACCTTTTGTTATATGTATCTGCTTCAATCAGGGTTTTCAATTAAATGGCGACAAATTACATAACTCATCCTTTTTTTATGCTGTTGAGATTGTTTTCAACGGGTCCACTGAAGATTATTGCATGTATATTCATGCGGTATACTGGTTTCTAGTTTTCTTCTCTTGCACTGTCATCTTCTGGCTTTGGAATCAGTGTACGACTGGACTTACAAAATGACTCAGGAAGTGCTCCTTCTTCCTCTTTTTGGGGGAGGAGACTGAGAAAAATGGGTGCTTCTTTAAATGCTTGGTAGAATTAACCAAGGAACAGTCATCTAGTCTGCAATTTTTTTCATTGGGAGGTTTTTATTACTGTTTCAATCTCTTCCCTTGTTACTTATCTCTTATCATTTTTTATTTCTCATTGTGTTAATTTGGGTGGCTTCTGTCTATAAGAATGTGTCCATTTCATCTAGTTTATATAGTCTGTCATCACACAATCGTTCATAATATTCTCCTTTAATCTTTTTAATTTCTTTGAAATCAGTACTAATTGTTCGTCTTTAAAGCTTTTCAGTTACTTGAGTCTTCTTTATTTCCCTTCTCAGTTCAGATAGGAGCGTGTAAATTTTGTTGATCTTTTCAAAGAACCTATTTTAATTTTGTTGATATTCACTAT